CACCAATAAGTGTTCAGCCCATCTGGGCCTGGAGCAGCAGAGTTCTTGAAACCCACAAGGGCTCTTCGAACGTCATCCAGGGTTATCGGGTTGCGCAGTTCATTGTGTTCAGGCTGTCGAAGCTCTCTGTTGAAAGCTTCGAACTGCGTTAGGGCTGGAGTGTTTAAGTTGAATGGCTGCGGGTGTTCATAGATATCCTTCCAGAAGGATTCCACCTGATCAGCTGTCGGCGGATTATCCACAACACGTGAAGGTTCTTGGAATAAGCGAGGGGATCTCTCGCGGAACCTAAGGTTTTCCGCGATATCTCTCGCTCGCCTCACTAGTGACTTCTTAGCAGCCACTAGCATTCTTATCTTATCAAGGCAGGGCAGTGCTGTTTGGTGGTCAGCAGCACGCCTTGACTTAAAGTGTGATGGATACGTCGTAGATTGGCGGCTATTCGCCGCACTGCGGGCGTGAAAGGCCTATTGGCTGCCCTGTAGTCCATCACACATTGGATACGAGACGCGTGTTGTCTCGCNAACTTTAATGTTTATCAAATTTATGGATTTTTTAGAAATCTCCAACTACTTTGTAAGCATATAATATTTGATTTATCATTTCTTCAAGCTTGATAAATCAATGAAAAAAATGTCTGTACATTTTCGTATCCAGGATTTCAATTATAAACTTTTTTCAATTTATCATTGACGAACAAAAAAATTATGAATACTCATGATGCCTTATTTTACATTGTGTATTGATTGTATACAAAAAAATTGATTTGCCAGAAATGATTTCAATACGACTTTCCGTCAGATTTTTCCTTAAAATGAATTTAAAGTCATCCGAAGTATGGTATCATGACGTGGGGATATGTAGCAAAGACTCATTTGGAATTGTAGGAAATTTTCCAAATGAAAATTATCAGAAGAATCTGCAAAATACCATACAGTTATCGCACAAACCTACTTTTTATCGAGACTGAACTCTTCAATTCAAGACAATGATGTTTCTATCAAACTTTTCTGAGACTACACATCTTTTGTAACCTAAACTGAGTACAATTGAACCTAATTAGGCTACAATCTCAACTGGTGTCATACCAAGCCTATGGAAGCAATCAGTTGTCTTACCTGTTTCCAAAATTTCGAAGGCCACCGAACTCAGTCAAATCAGCCCCCACTAGAAATGATTGAACTTGTGTTCTGCCTGCAATTCAATCAGTGTTTGAGAAATCCCCAGTGCAAGTACAGCACTACTGAAAGTCATAAATAATTTCTTCCGAGCGGTGGATGATTTCCATGTTTTCCCCTTTATAATGTACAATTTTACTAAGACCTCATGAATCATGATCTATTCATTGCAAAATGAAGTTCTACGAATTGAGACATATCTCAGAAATTATCTTTGACCCAGAGGCCATTGAAGGGTGTTATCTAAATGTAACGTTGCGTTGTGGTAGTGTGAGGACCGTAAGGAAGTATCTTGGATCTTTATCTCATCCAGCATATTCACTGCAGACTCTTTACGATTATTAACGATGCATTGGATAACTTCCATGTATGCAGACGACACTAAGATATTTGCCTCAACTCCTCCTGAAAATTCAAACCAGATAGTGATCCAAGCGGATGACAATTTCAATGATAACAGTAAATGGTCGCTAAAAGAGAACCCAAATTGGAGCTGGCAAAAATATTTGCTTCAATCATTGGGTACGAACTGAATGTTCAATGGAAATACTATTTCCATTGTTAGTGAAACTGAGAATCTGGAAATCATAATAGATACAAGTTTGTCTTTTTAGAGTCATGTTATTGAAGAACTGAGTGTTTTTTCAAAACATTGTGACATTACAAATATATTTTTACGTTTTCCCCCGTGGGTTTGCCAATAACTGACTACACTGAACAATATTCAAATTCAACTTTATATCGCTTCAAATACAACAAACACTTCAACTGAAACTTCAACTATTTTTCAAATATCTATCGCATTATTAGATTACTCCGCATACCACACTGTAACTTCCACTTGACTGTCTCGATGGGCGAGTGAATGACGTTTATATTTGGAAATCAAAGAAAGAAGAAAATTCTTCAGAATTCTATCGAAGTCGGTGAAATATTCGCCAAGAATTCCATCGATTCCGTGCGAACAGCCACGAAATGTCGGTCAAACTGAGTGCGCTCTTCGCCACGTCACAATTGGTTTATGGCTACCAGTGGCGGCCGGCGTTATTTTCCTCAGGGCATGATTTACAACAATATTTTTTCATACGACGTGGAATGGAAACTCATTCGATATTACTACGATTACTCGCAGGCATTTTCTGCACATCTATATGTACCTCAACTCACTTATTTTGTCGAGTAAAATCTATGAAAAATCTTTTTCGATCGGGGTATTGCTGTAATAGTTAATGGAAGGACTCAAGAACAATATTGAGAGTGGATAATGGTTCAGAAAACGGTGAGATTATTTCGGATAGACCTTTATCTGAAATAAGTGAAAACTGAAGTCAAACCTGTACAGAGACTGAACATCGATAGAGTGTAAATGGAGTGTAGCAAGGCAATGGATAGTAAGCGATCCGATTGACATCTTAATTTAGATCAGAATGAAGTCTAGATCCCTGATCCTTTCAACGTGTGTTCATCAAGAGGACAAAACGAGACACAACTAACGTTGTACCCCTACCTGGCTACCTAGGGTGATTAGGTGAGAACATTATTCATCCGTTAACAAAGGATATGAGCGCCTCATTTGACTGAGTGTCGGGATCTTCTATTTTGTGAGGAGTCGTCTAAAGCATAATCTATAGTTTTCCTGACTAACGAATTATCGTGAGTTTCCGCACTATCGAAAACTCGCCGATTTTTCAACTGAATGTACTGCTGAATGGAAGGCACATGAATGGCTTCATGCCGCACAAACCGCAAAGCATTCACTATCATCCGTATCAACTTATTTTGCAATCATTCCAAAATTGAGATTTTTGTCGGAACCGCTTGTCCCCAGACGCCTGAAGAATACAAGCTGACAGGCTTGAACATCGTGTTACAGATCAACAACTTGTTTTTTTAGGCTCATCTTTGATTTTTCATTCATCAGAAGATACAAATTTACAATCCGACCCTCGATCTTTGCTTTCAAGTTTTCAAAGTGTAGGGTTCAGGTGAGCCTACAGTCTATCAGAAGACCGAGGCACTTTACCTGCGCTTGCCAGTCGATCTCCATTCCAGAGACTCTCACTTTCATAACCGGAGAAGATGTCTTTCTTCTTATGGTTATTTGAGTCTTGTTCGGGTTCACATGGATCTTCCAATCGAGGTACCACCGCTAATGGTCGTCCAATGCACGTTGACTTCCTGTTGTCAGACAGATATCCCTCTACTCTGACCTAGAAGGTCCTGCCCTTCAGGAAGGACTCAATCCACCGGATCAAGTCCCGAGGCAGGCCTAACTCAAGGAGCTTATCAAAAAACCTTCGTGTCATACACAGTCGTATAGTCAGTGATGTGAAATGTGCCAGCGCACGTGGGTTTACCTCAGAAAGGGTTACCCGCTCGGTCATCACACAGTCTTTTAGGCTGAAGTATATGCAATCTTGCAATGCCCAAGGAACATTAATTTCAGGCCTCCACGAAATCAACGAATCGATAATTTCACAGACAGTCAGGCTGAACTAATAAACTCAAAAGTGACTTCTAGACTGGTTAAATGCCGTTATGAACTGAGAAAACTAACGGACAGAAATACATCGACTTCATGTCAGGACACTTGGAAATAATAGGAAACGTGAAAGATGATGAGTGTGCTAGACATGGATCATCAACTCCATATATAGACTCTGATCCCGCTGTGGGGATAAGTCTTTAGTACAGAACTAGATTGGAAAGTGGCTCTATGAGAAAGATGAAGTAGTACTGGGAAAATAAAGCCGAGAACACACACGGAAAAACATTTATAAAAAGACCGTCTGAAAAGAGAACAGAAAATCTACTTGGATGGAGCATGGATCGACTGTAGGGACAAAGGGACAGAAACAGCCCATCGTGTTTTATGCAAATGTGAGGCACTGGATAATAGAAGGCAACCCATATTATGTCCAGAAGTATATGAGAAATGTCCAACAAAGAACGTATAGAGATAGTGAGAAAATATAGTAAGCCCATGAGGCTGCAGTATTCTGCGTAGATTTAGAGAAAAAATGCTCACATGACGTGGCTCCCAAGAACAATATAGATGTGTCTATAAAATCTGTATATATCGATGAAAAATGAACTGATTTTTGGGATTTCAATTACTTTGAAGCAAATCGAGCTAAAATAGGGCAATATGTGTTTCAGTTTTGTATCCTGTTTAGTGAAAATCACGCAATGAACTGTTACTTGAATATTAGACATCATGTATTCCTATCAAGAATCTGTCAATTCCACCACATGCATACTTATTTGATATTGGTAATATCTAGTATTCAGCATATCTTTATTAGTAAAATTAAAGTCGGAAAAAATGAACTGTTTCCAAAAAATTAATGTTTTTTTAATTGATCGATTTATATTGAAAGATGTCTTCGTCTTTTTTGATACTAGTTCCTCTTGTGTATGGGGTTGATTTCAGTTCTTTTTTTTTGATAATACATTTTCCACAATGTACATTTCTTGTTTTCTCACGAAGAGAATTAACTTTTCAACTCTTTTGATATTTGTAATATTTTTTCAATATACGATTTGATTGAACAACTGAACAGTATATGATGAGTAACTTCAGAAAGCATTTGTACAGATTTGATTGAATTTTGCATACAAGTTTTTGATGACGCAGTGATTTTTAAAATTTGAAAGTTGAACCCAGATCTACTATCTGTTAACCTGGTACACATCGAAAATATCCCCATTACGTTGTCAATCAATATACCTTCATTCAAAATATCTTCAAATTGCATTACGATAAAACATAGTGACGAACGGCATTTGTCAATACAGCTTTCAACACTGTTTTTTTTTCAGGTCGACCTATTCCAGATAAATTGGATATAAGAGAATACATAAACACAGTTCGAGATACTTTACGAACAAGAATCATAGGAGGCTATCGAGAAGATGATATAATGCTCATAGAAGAGAACCTCCTTTCAGAACAAAAAATGATAGATACTATAAAAGAAAATTATCAGATATATGTAAATACATTCGAAGAATTCTTGTACAGAGATCATACGTCGGCCATGCAGCTTTTGAGAAACTCTGAAAAGGCTGCCGAAGAAGCTTATAATGCATATGAGGAGTATAAAAAGCTGGCTAAAAGATTTGGAGCTTTGCGGTCATCTTTGTACAATTCGGAAGAAAAATATAGAAATTGTAAAATGTATCAGAAGTTTTTGTATACTGTCAGTCCGCTATCTTGGAGAGGAGAAAGACAAAAATTCAGACGTACAAGCGTTTTCATGATGGAACCAGTCGATGATGACAATGAGGAAGAAAAAATATTTGGGAAGTATCGTCTGTCTCTTGCTGAAAAAGGTGTGTCGCTGAATGACATTTTACAATTATTTCGCGAAGAATGTATGGATGATGAATCCCCTCAGCTCTATTTCAAAGATCCAGAGCAGTTAATGGATGTGTTTCGTTTCATGGAGATGCAAAATTTGAACTCATTATTGCATGCTGAAGAATTAGCAATTCCCTTAGAGCATGTAAAAGATGGTATGAGGGTAGCCGAGAAAATATTTGAAAGTGAAATAGAAAAATTACGAGGATGTATTGATAGTCTTTCTGGAGGAATATCGTAAGTTCATTGATGAAGTATCAATTATGTCGATTGTTATTAGTATCCACAATCATTTCGGATGATGAAAGTTAGTATAACAACATCGTCGTAAAGTTACTTGATTAGAAAAACTTTTCGTGGGTTTACTTCGTAACTCATCATCAAATACGTTTTAACAGCTCAACTGCATTAACCTTTCTCGATTTCATATCATTTCTAGAAACATGTGGATTAGTTGTCCTGTCCGATAGCATTCCAGGATAGTTTTCCCAAATTTCTTCCACCATAGTTGTTGGTTGATCAACCTTTCTCGATTTCATATAATTTTAGAAACATGTTGTCCCATAGCATCCCAGGATAGCTTCCCAAATTTCTTTCAGCACAGTTGTCGGTTGATTAACCTTTCTCGATTTCATGTCATTCTAGATAGGCTGATCAGAATATAACCCGGTGATGATGATTTTTCAATAATGAATTTGGAAAAATGGAATTTTATAAATTCTAATCTTATCTAATTCTAATCAGCCTTGATGTGATTTCACTCTCCAGCAATATACTTATGAATCTAGTATAGATTCTAGTATCAAAAAATGTAATGATGTTAATGAAAAATGTTCAATAAAACAAAATAAAAGTTGAAATAATTAATTTCATATACAACTCAAGTTATTTCTTTTTCGAAGGTAAGTGCTATAAATAAATTCTTGGTACACCATTTCTATTTCTACTATTATAGCACAATACGTAATGGACGATCTTTTGGAAAATACACTTTCCAAACTAAGTTCTGAAATTCTTTTTTTGAAAAAATACGTTGACGATATCATTTGTGCAATACCGTATGACAAATCCCATGACATTCTCACTGTGAGAATAATTGTGTAATTTGTTCATAACTTAATTATAGGCCCTAAAGGAGCTTTCCATTAGAAGAATAGGTGCCCGTGATTTTTCCCAATTTTTGAGTGTTATGTCCGCTAATTTCACCTCTTTTTCAATATATAAGTAGAGTGCTACTAACGAATTTGAACCTTTTCCTACCAGTTGACATTGATCTTGAATGACATCGCATGACCTTGAGCTATGTGCACGTCATATGACCTTGAAGATCCTAAACGGCTTTAAAATATGAGCACGTTATATGACTTCAAATATTAAGTTCGACCTTGACGATCGACATGACTTCGAACTTGAGTGACCTTGGATGAAACGTCATAGATTTACCTCGGATCGGAGTGGGATTGTGCCCTTATAAGGAATGTGTTGTGAATGTTTCATTCTTTTCGAATTCTCCACATGAGCCAAGTGTAAAGATGGGCAACACATGGTTACCAAAAAAAAAGAAATACAAATGCACGAAGCCATCAGCAGGAACCAGCCGCACATTTGTGGTTTCAGTTAATACATTTTGTGTTCATAAGAAAACTATCATAATCATGACGGAGACAGCTCCGTAACATCCGGTGAACAAACTGCATTATTTTGAGGAAGTAAATGATGATCAATTCAAAGATTTGCTGAAATTTTTTGTCAAGACAAAACACAAGCACTACAGGAAAATATTTGAGGCGTTCTGTAAGAGCACTCTCTGTGCGAAAGTAGCGATTCACGTAGAATTTGAAAAAAATTATCCCACAAGAACGCAGTTCTCCAAAAGAAAGAATTATCAAACAATGGAGTTGCAGCCACAGTCCTTGGCGTGTGGAATCTCCAACCTTTTTTCGATGTTCCAGACTATCAAGGTTGCAAGTGATGTTCGCGTCTCCAATCAGGTGGAGGGCTCTTTTCTGGATGGAATCCAGCAGCTTCAGGGTATGCTTACGGGCGAACAATAATAATAATAAAATCTAATCTGAGCTTTACAGAGCATAAAAAACTGCTGGGGTTTGTACAGTTTTCTGGTTCGGAACAGTATTCCAAGCTTTTGAGAAGCAGCCTTCGCAATTCCAGCGACATGATTGTGCCAAGACATGTTTGTGTCTATTTTACTCGTGATCCCCAACCAGCGGAATTGTCTGTCCTAACATTATTATATCTGGTTGACATTATATAACCTAACGTTATATGACCGGGTTGCTTTAGTTATGTATCAATGGGCATACGACGGAATTTATGGTCAAGCACTGTACATCTTATATTAGATATTGTGATTTGGATTCAAAACATCACGGTCAACATCCCAGCAAATTTTTGATACGATATTATGGCTGGGCCGAAATTGGGGACCCATTTTTTGTATGCTATGAGAATCAGTTACATGAAAGAAAAAAAAATGTTGAATTTATTGACAAAGAAAAATAAGGCAAGGATAATGTCAAAGGGTAACTAAGCGGCATCTTCGTTAATAAATAGTTGAATCTCAACGTGTAGCATATCAAAAGCACATAAAATGGAAGAAAAAAAAATGTTTAATTCATTGACAAAGAAAAAAGATGAAGATGATGTCAGAAGTGCACTAAGCGACATCTTCGTTGATAATAGTTGGATCTCAACATGTAGCAAATCAAATGAAAGGGAAACGAATGTATCTGAATGGCGCACTCAAGCAGACGGTCCATCAACTTCACAATCAAGATGTCATTTATGTAAATCTCTGAATCTCTCGATTCGGTAGTAAATGGAATAAAAAAATATACATGTATTTTTCGTTTTTATTTTAATTTTTTAATATGTCATGTACATCACTGATTTAAATACATTCTTTATGGATAAATGTGATACATTGATCATAATCTATTTACTGTAATGTCCTCATGTAAGTGTATCAAATATTGATGAATCATTATTTGTTTATCAATAACCCAATCAGGAAGTTTCGAAATGTCTGTTGAGGTGAAATTCTGAAAGATATGAATAAATTCAATCATTGTAACCTAACAAGTATAAAGGTATTCAAAATATTGATAGTATAATAACTGAGGGAGAAAAAGAGACAGAGAGACGGAGAGAGAAGAGAAATCTATTTTTGTTAATAGTCATCAAAATCATAAATATCGCTCTCATGTTCGTATTCACCTCTAAAAAGTTTTCTTATAGGAGATGATGAATGAAGTTTTTTTTACAAGACTCATAACTTTTATGTTCAAATAATACTCGAAAATAACTATAACACCAAAAATAAATATTTTGTCATCTATGAGCATGTTCAACTTTATCAAATCAGGATTACAAACACATAAGCGAAATTTATCAATCCTATAACAATTCATCCATATAAAGTATTCATGATGATCTTCGATTACGTAGTCCCAATCGTTTTGAAATAATATTACTGTTCTCAATTATTTACTTATAAATTTATGATTGGGAAGATTTTCAATATCTCAATAAGAACTTGTTCACTATATTCAAGTTCAGCCTTTTGACATATAGAATGCCACTTGTAATTTACGTAATTTTTCATCATTTGCTGTGTTGATATCCACGATAGAGGTGATTCATAGAGAAAATCACCTGCACATGAAACGTCTTCGAGAATTGTTTTATGCACAGTTAGCGTGATGATTTCATCTGAAAATTTAGAGAAAACCAATTGCCCTTCTAGAATACTACTGGAGTTTTTTCCCAACACCATGCCGTTATTTTACCACCTCCACACGTGTTTTGATCACCAAGTGATCATCTTCAGAAGGAAGATCAAACTGATCTTCTTCTTGAAGATGCATCAATTTCAGATAATGTTTCTTTAAATTCATTCATAAAGTATCATGTGTTTACTTTACCAAATGTAACATTTATTTGTCATATCTAGATATATGGAGTTAAGGAGTTCTGGATAATCATACGTCACTTCCAATCATGATACTACACTCATTATGCTAGAAAATTGTCACAGAAATTGTCTGGATCGACAACTTATGTGCATTCAACAAAAAGGTCGCCAATTCAAGCATTCAATGTAGATTACCATGTAGCTTTGATTCTCTGTATTGGTTTCATTTTTCCCAAAAGTGCATGATGAAATAAATTGTTTTTCTGTACGATTGTTGTCACTGATGGTTATTTCAAATGAAACGTTATGAAAATATCAAATGTGATATACTCTTGGATTGTGAATTTATCGCTTTATCAATATCTGTAATAAAAAAGACAGGCTCGTATTTTTTTTTAAAAAGTTGATGGTGGCCAGGTTGACAAGAAAAGTTTTATCGAATATTCATTATTACCTCGTCTTAGTACACTTCGAATACAATACAATAACAATTTCTTCTTTCATTTTTTGATATTCTCCGAAATAACAATTCTATTAAGAAAAAACGAAAAACAGCATTTTTTGTTTTCCCTGTATAACTCTAGAAGGGCGAGAGTCTTCGACCATTGTATAGTTCCCGCCATGGACAAATGAAATTTTGAAAATCGATAACGAAGAATAATCTGTGCAGGGCATGAAAACAAAATCCAAATAACGATAAAAAACAACAATATAGGAGTGAGAAAAGAGACTATATAAGAAAAGTGTTAGAATAAAGAAAAATATTATAACTGAAATATAACCAGAAACGTCAATTAATTATTTCATTTATGGAAAACAGTAAATGTTTCAACAAGCAAATATTCAAACAAAATAGATATTTTCGAAATTTCAGACGAAAATCGATATATCCTAACCAAATGCCCTACAAAAAAGTGAGACAAACAATTTTCATTTTCTGAAAAGTAATTTCTTTTTGCAGACGTTATAAACTCAACAAGGGCAATTCATTTTCTCATGCCTTGTTTTATTATTCATTGCATGAGGTGGTTAACATAAGATCAACCCTTACCCTGCAGTAGGGGTTGAAAGACATTCATTCTTGTACGGCATAGAAATCAAAATATCATTAGACATCTCAAATCTTCAACGAGAATGGAAATGTTCGAAATATTTGGGTTTTTTAAATTAATCTTGATGATCAGCTTAAAAAAGGTAAAATGAATATTTCTTTGGTGTAAGATTTTTTTATGCTAATAGAGATAATTCCTGTAGCCTGACAAAAAAGTTGGGTATTATTCAAATTAGGAAGTTTTGAACAAACTTTAATGTTTATCAAATTTATGGATTTTTTAGAAATCTCC